TCAGGGAGGTAACTTTTCCTGCCCTTTTGGGTGGCCCGAGCCACTGGTCAATTCCAGAAGGCCAGCCTGTGTCTCCCCCAAAGACACTGGGCAGCAGCCTCTCCATCCACTTAGATTTTATGTGGCAAAGTGACAGGAAAAGGAAAAAGACACTGATATACTGGCCACCACTGACGTAGGATTTGTCGGAGGTGGAGTCAATAACACAACTCCCATGTCATGAGGAAAGAGTAAAACGTTTCAAACGCCAGGTGTCCTAAGTCAACAAGTGCAGGTTGCAGCTTTCCAACCTGGATCCTTTGTCAGAAATTTCCTTCATGTTATACTGTTATACTTGATTTCTGGATGCCACGGAGTGGTTGGAGGCTCGCGCTTATCATGTTGTCGTACAATTGTCAGTGACACTGCTTGCAAAGGGCTGTTGGTTGAAAGGCACAAATTAGAGTTTCAGGCAAATGAGCTCCGAGCGGATCTGGGAGGAATCAGAGAACATGAGGTGAGGAAATTCAAGTGGGTTTCTTTGGATGCTTTGTCTCTGTGCCACAGGCAGTTTGAACCTTTTTGTGCTCCAAGGTGGGTTGCTGTCATGCAACAACCATGTTGGAGTGTTGTGCACATGGTTGGCATAGGCTGCAAGTCATGCACACCGACAGTTTTGACGTCGACGAGAAAAAGTCATTTGAGTTCTCCAAACCAATGTTATCATACAACGCTTCAACGTCTCTTCAATGCACAATTTGGGTTGCAGATGGCAGCCTTCGATGCCCTGCGCCCGAGGTTAGATTCCTTACTGTTTTAGGATGACAGATGCAGTGGAGCGCTTGGAGACTCACAATGAACATTCTGCTTCTATACTGCGGGCATTGCCACTAGGCGTGCGCTTGCGCAACCTGGCATATAGCGAACAGGCCTGCTCTTCTCCGCTGAAATCTCGGTTGAAATGGCGCAAGTCCACCTCAGCGTCAAGAGTCGCCTGCATCCAGCAAAATCCAAATCAGGCCTGTTTCCAACGGAATTTTGGGTTTGAGATCACCATTCTTGACCTTGTGTCAGATTTGGCTGCGGCCAATATTCCTGCCCATGATGTTTAACATGACACCTCCTCAATTTTCCACCTTTTGCTGCTCGCCCCCCGTTGGCCTCAGCATCCTCTCAGAAGCCCTGCTAGCCTGTGCCTATTTGCTTTCGTTCTTGGTTTCACATCAGTGATGATCAGCCGCATCATCACTGGACATGGCAAGGCCATTGCTGTCACATTCGATGTCTTGACAGGTGTCACTGGCGTGCTCGCAGTCCCTTCGTCGGTGTCCTCTTGTACTGCAAGACTTGCCATCAGGTCAACGCAGCCTCCCCATATCCCACATGTTATGCAATTGTTGCCCTCCTGACCCGTGAAATGCATGGGGGTGCTTGAATCGATATTGTATCCTATCAGATTTGTTTCCATCAACAACCAACCTGGATCCTTTGTCAGAAATTTCCTTAATGTTATATTTGATTTTTGGATGCCATGGAGTGGTTGGAGGCTCCCGCTTCTCATGTTGTTGTACTGCAGGCCTTGCTAGTGTCGCATGAATATTCCCAGTGCATTTTTCTCAGAACTGCGCAAGAGTCCAGTCCAACAGTCATGTTGCCGTGTCGCGCATGTGTTTGACATAGGCTGCAAGTCACGCACATCAACAATCTTGACATTGACAAGAAAAAGACATTGCAGTTCTCCAACCCAATGCCATACAATGCTTCAACCTCTCACATGCTTTCGGTAACAACCTTCTCGCACGATCCTGCGCGTAAGCAAACACTGTGTTCGCGTAAGGGGCTGCGCAAGATTCCAGCATAAATCAGGGAGGTAACTTTTCCTGCCCTTTTCGGTGGCCCCAGCAACTGGTCAATTCCAGAAGGCCAGCCTGTGTCTCCCCCAAGACACTGGGCAGCAGCCTCTCCATCCACTTAGATTTTATGTGGCAAAGTGATAGGAACAGGAACAAGACACTGACATACTAGCCACCACTGACATAGGATTTGTCGGAGGAGAGTCAAAAACACAACTCCCATGTCATGAGGAAAGAGTAAAACGTGCCAAAAGCCACGTGTCCTAAGTCATGAAGCCAAAACTAGCAAGATCAGAAACTTAAGACACCCTCTTGAGGATTCTTGAAATGGTAAAAATCAAGCGCAAAACGCATGACTGGAGATATGCTGATATTGTCATTTGCGCACAACTCCTAAGTCAGCAAGTGCAGGTTGCGGCTCGCCAACCTGGATCCTTTGTCAGAAATTTCCTTAATGTTATAATTGATTCTTGGATGCCGCGGAGTAGTTGGAGGCTCGCGCTTATCATGTTGTTGTACTGCAGGCCTTGCTAGCGTCGTAAGAGCCAACTGATACTGGGCAGCAGCCTCTCTATCATTTAGATTTTGATGTGGCAAAGTGATATTTTTGCACAAAGGTGCATATGTCAGAACTTTTGCCCTTCAATCTTTTTGACACCGAGATTTTCATTGAGGCGTGACAAGTCTTTCGTTCTTTTTAGAGGGCCTTCAAACCGACGTAACGAGTGGAGAGCGCAGACTTTTGCCACATCAGGAGTCATGCTTCTTGTTCTGCGCCGTCCGTTGGTACTATGCCTGAAACTGATAATTTTATATCATATCGATTCAATGCATCTTGCAAGAGCTGCAGCTTGCATATGTCGTGTCTTGTCCAAGCAGTTTGTGTACCTGTCCCAGTAAAAGACTTTTCCTCTTCGAAATGCATCACGCGCACGCAGTACAATTGTCAGTGACACTGCTTGCAAAGGGCTGTTGGTTGAAAGGCACAAATTAGAGCTTCAGGCGTATGAGCTCCGAGCGGATCTTGAAGGAACCAAAGAAGATGGGGTGAGGAAATTCAAATGGGCTTCTTTGGATGCTTTGTCTCTTTGCCACAGGCAGTTTGAACCTTTTTGTGCTCCAAGGTGGGTTGCTGTCAAGCAACAACCATGTTGCAGTGTCGTGCACATGGTTGACATAGGCTGCAAGTCATGCACACCGACAGTCTTGACGTCGACGAGAAAAAGTCATTTGAGTTCTCCAAACCAATGTTATCATACAACGCTTCAACGTCTCTTCAATGCACAATTTGGGTTGCAGATGGCAGCCTTCGATGTCATGCACCCAAGGTCAGATTGCTTACTGCTTTAGGATGACAGATGCAATGGAGTGCTTGGAGGCTTGGAGACTCACAATGAGCATTCTGCTTCTATACTGCGGGCACTGCCACTAGGCATGCGCTTGCGCAACGTGGCATATAGCAAACAGGCGTGCCCTTCTCCACTGAAATCTCTGTTGAAATGTTGCAAATCCGCGGTGCGTCAAGAGTCGCCTGCTCAAAGTGCATCCGACAAAATCCAAATCAGGCCTGTTTTCAAGGGAAGTTTGGGGTTTGAGATCACCATTCTTGACCTTGTGTCAGATTCGGCTGTGGCCAATATTCCTGCCCATGATGTTTAGCATGTTAGGTGTCACTGTCGTCTCGCAGTCCCTTCGTCGGTGTCCTCTTGTACTGCAAGACTTGCCATCAGGCCACTGCAGCCTCCCCATATCCCACATGTTATGCAATTGTTGCCCTCCTGACCCGTCAAAT